AAATAAAAAGGAAACAAAGATGTAAACGAGAAGTGGCACATCAAGATTCGACTTAGCAGATTTGATGGCAGCAATACAAGAACAGCATAAGAAACAAGAAGAACGAGAAAATAAACAACAAAAGAAAGAAGAAGAATGAGACAAGACACAAGAAGAAAGACTACAGCAGTGGTTGGAGGAGAAAGAAAATAAACAAGAAGAGAGACTACAGCAGTGGTTGGAGGAGAAAGAAAATAAACAAGAAGCGAGACTGCAGCAGTAATTGGAGGAGAAAGAAAATGAACAAGAAGAGAGACTACAGCAGTGGTTGGAGGAAAAAGAAAAGAAACAAGAAGAAAGTCTCCAACAGTTGAGAGAAAGCCAGTTGAAGTGGAACGATGTCTTATGAATTTGTATGGGGCAATCTGTACAGGACTCCTAGGCTGTCGCCAGCCAGAATAACAAAACTCCAGTTCTGGTAAAGGCCACCTGCGACTAGATGAGGACTGGAAGTGCCACTGGTTGATGAAGTCTTCCATCAGAGCTGTTTCCTCAGCAGGTGAGTGGTCCACGACTTTTGAGTCTGATGGAGCTTACACTGAAGGGTCTACAATGGGAGAGATGCCTAGTATACCTCAATGAGGTTTTGGCAATTAATAACGTTTGAATCTGTGGCTGAGGGTATTACAGTGGATAAGGAAAAAAAACAAACTAGAAACTGAAATCAAGAAAATGTGTGCTTATTTACAATTAAGTAGAATTTTTGTGTCATATTGTAATCTATACAGACCCAACAAAGGTAGCAGCAGTGAAAGACTGACCTCAACTGAAGATCAAGGAAGAAGTCTGCAGTTTCCTTAGTTTTAAATTGTGTAACAAATGCCCTGTGGACAACTTCTTCAAGACTGCAGCATCATTGACTGCTTTCACAAAACTCAGATGCACTTTTGGTGGAGCAATGAATGTGAAAAAGCATTCCAACTCTCTAAAGATTATTCAGGCAAGAGCTCCTCCAGAATTTTCAAAGCCCACAGTTTATAAGCCACCAAGGTGTTACCTGCCATTGTGCTCAGCTTCAATAGTGGTTCTACTGGCAACTTTGAGTCAAAATGTATGGCACTGGTGTTGACATTACACAGTGTGTGCTGCCCATAGAAAGAAATAGTCAAGACAGGCTAAACTCCAGCAGAGAATTTTCGGTTCTCTTCCATGAAGGATAGCCCTAGATATCACTGGTTCACACCTGTGGACTAAACAAGACAATCAATATATACTCCTGACCATTGTCTACTTCACAAAGTGGGCCAAGACTTATTGATACTTGGCTAATTCCACAGCTGATGCTTTGGTAGAGTACAGGACAGCATGATTTACAGCACCAGAAGAAATTCACACGAATGAGGGAACTAACTTGAGCAACCAACTGTTCTAAATTGTGTAAATAGTGTTAGGTCTGGTGAAGATAAGCACTTTGTCTGTTTAGCAGAATGGGTAATACAAACTACTCAGCAAATGCTTGCCACGTCTATTAAACTGACTGTGATGAACACTTACTGTATGTCATGTGGTTAAAACATAAATGGCCAGAAAGACATTGTGACCTTTTTTTTTTTAAAAGCTATTGAGTGAATTTTCCAAAGCAAAATATCGTCCAAACTACCAAAAGAACATGGATCTAACCAAATAGCCAGAACTATACAGAGCATGCTGCCTGGTCCTTACTAGACCCCTCTTCCATGTCAAGAGAATCTATGGTGATTCTATATGCAGTGAGGGAGTTGTGGTTCCTCTGAGTGTAAATTCATATACATAGTAACAGCACAAAAATTAATTATAGTTGATGAGAATCACAGCTGAAAAGCCTTAGTTTGCCTATTCCTGTCAGTAATTATTTATGTTGTACATTACTAAAGTATGTGACAGTGTGTTATAGTAATACATGTATATAGCAATATATATGTGTATAAGCAATGTATGTTATTTTACACACATGCATGTAATTACACAAAGTCACTCATGTGTTGTATAATAGGAACAGATCAATTGCACAGAAAATACAGTCAAGCAGCATGTGAAAGGGGTCAAAGGATCTGATCTGGATGTTAAGACTCAATGATATGAAGTTAACTGTGATTACTGACTTAGAAGGTATTATTTGAAAATACAGTGCACGTTATTTTCATTAAAACTGGTGAGAGAATGTTTCAATTTCGACTTTGAAATATTCCACATATAGTAAATTTTCATAGGGGATAAGAGTAACATGTGAGATAACACAGTTTTACCTGTTGTTTTTTTGTAAATACTAGTGCAAAATATTTCAATTGGATTGAACTGAAATATTCATGAGTTTAAAAAGTTATCAGTAGTAAATTAAATTCACATACATTAGTTTAGAAATCATAAATGTAAAGCTGGTACACCAACCAGTGGTTATGGTAGGAGTATTTTCAGTCATGGATTAAAGTAATCTATAAGTACACAAGATTCTAAATATTTTCTTAACATTGTTTCAGTATAATGCAGTTAAAATGCTGTTAGCATCTACCAATGCCACTATCTGTCTCCACATTAGTACATTTGTTCCTTCACTATCTTATCATAAAACCTCTTCCGTCATATAGTGGTCTTTCCTAGCTGTTGACATACAAACTTGTACACAATAACTAATGCAAACCTCAAGTAACTCCAATATTCTTGTGGATGTCGTGGAACACTTTCTATGGTGTAGGACTCTATGTCACATCAATAGAGTAAGGCTTCCCACTAAATGTAAGAATGTTTGGTGATCAATCTGTTGATGTCAGTTCAGTTACATGACAGGCCATCATGTTCATCAGCAAGCATGTTTGGTGAATGACCTGTTGATGTCAGTTCAGTTACGTGATAGGCCATCATGTTCATCAGTATGCATGTTTGGTGAATGACCTGTTGATGTCAGTTCAGTTACATGAAAGGCCATCATGTTCAACACATTCAGTTTGGAAACAATTGCTCAAATTTAAAATACAGAAATTTTTAAACATTTAGATATCAACTAAGGGGGTAGCAAACATATGGTCCTGTACCAAAAAACCTATTTTCAAGCCAAGGTGGAGTTCTGAGGTGCACTAGTTTTCCTTTAGAGTAGTTGAGTAGGTTATGCATAATAACAGGTTCAACAGAGAATGAATCACAGAGCAAGTCTGAATTTAAAAACCTTGACTGAGTTCAAAGCAAAGAAATGTAAAACACAGTGAAACATTCAGAGTAATATTTAGATTGCCAGTATAGTATGCAGGTATACTAGATGTTTTCCATCTCCTTTGTTTAGTAAAGTAACACTTTAAAGTTCATATAAAAATTAATAAAATTTTCATGCACACAAGTATATGGATGTTTCAAAGTAGAACATCATCAAAGAAATGGTTACGTTCCTTTGGCTCTCAGTAACTACTCTTCTGGATCTTTTGTATATGGTATCATATGCACTTTCTTATTAGAAGATCACTGTAAAGTAGAACACAATATGTTAAAGTAGGAAGTGACCTTTTTCACTGTCAGGTCAAGTGATACCTTGAGATTATATCATCCATTATTGTTCTATTAGTAATATGTTTAGTGCATGTATTCAGAGAAGCTGTATTGTTGTGTATGTAATACTATGTTTTCTCAGTCTGAAGAAATGTTCTTCATGGTGAATTTTTCTCGACAGTAAAGGTGCTGTCTCTCATCCTATCTGCTCATTGCTTTGATTAATTTGGAAAAATAAAGCTTGATTTTAACTACATTTAGTCTCTTTCTACAAACTCAAAGTTAGAGAATGCAGATGACCTTAGTAATACAGTTTGTGCTATAAAATCTTGTTTCACCAAATTTGAGGAAAACAGTTTATCTGGAAGTACCACACCGACAAAAAAACATACACATTGGTTCAATTACTAGATGTTTATCTCAAAGAACATTTCAAAAGTACAAATCCATATCCAATATCGCTAGATAAGTGTTATGGTTTTGGGGATAACTGTGTGTGTGTGTGTGTGTGTGTGTGTGTGTGTATATGACTTCTGGATTATTAAGTTAGCTCAAGTGCATCAGAAGTGCAAAATTAATCATACGGATTACTAAAAACAACTGTCATCCCCAGTACTCATAGGGATGAAGAATCATACAAACTCTGCATCAGTTTCAGGAAGGTTCAAGTTGTCAGATTTATAGATGCTTAAAACTAAATAATCATTTGGTACACAAGTGGGAGGTCAATGTTCTTTACTTTCTGAGCCTGTCTACTAGATCAAACATTTTTTAGTATCTAATAGATACTAAGCAAATAAAGAAAATTTGCAGCATTAACATAAGTTTTTATGTATTTTGTGTGATGTCACTGATGACATACAATGTTAGGTTTCTCATATATGTTGGTAGCATTCTCATTTTGTGGAAACACACACACACTCGACAGTATAGAGTAAATGCTACTTGAAGTCACAGTTATTGAAAAGAAGAAACTACAGTAAACAAACGGCACTCAAAAGAGAAAGTCATAAACACAGAGTAGTTAGCAGAATTATAAATTCACGAGTATTTACCTGTAGAAGGCAACCAAGGTCTGCCAAAATGTGTCACAGTCATTATATCAAAAACATTTTAATTTGTGCTTATAATGCTGTTTTCATTCCTTTGATAAATGTATTTTGTATTGAAAATACTTAGACCTATGTATTTTGCACACCTCTGGATACGTATATGTTTTTTGATAAACTATAAGTAAGAAAGATGGAGATCTTGAAACACTTTTTTATTTTGAATGAAAATTATTCTTTGATTATCTTTTTTTTTGGCCATTGTTAAATATCAGGTGACACATATTTTGTTCAACAGGTGGCTTTTAATCTGTAAAAGCTTACAATGATGTGGATTGATCAAGAAAATCATTGACACTTATACACCATTTGAGCAAGATTGAGGTTCAGGAATAAAACAATTTCTTTAAAAAAATCTGATGAAGATGCTATGTATAATAGCCTAATGGTCCTCTAGTGGATGGACCAGTAAAGTCCATCTACTAGAGGACCATTAGGCTATTATACACCAGTAAAGTCCATCCACTAGAGGACCATTAGGCTATTATACACCAATAAAGTTATCATAACACATTGAGGTGATAAACAAGTTCATTATATTGATGTTTTCATTTGGTATAAATCACCAACTTCTCCTTGTTTGGGAAAAGTTAACACTCACAACACTGCTGAACACGTACCACGAGCAAACAACCTCACACTTTTTTCTTCCACTTTAAACTGCATAATTTTCTTTGATAACTTGCCAGATTTTTCTGTAACTGTTATCTGAAAAGAGAAAACATAAGTTGTATTACCTTGTGAAGATAAAAGTTTGTTTATAAGCATAGCTTAATGTAGACACCTTAATGCATGGATTCCTAAGTGTATGAACTTATGAAGTCATAAGCTGTCAAACTCATTGTTCTTATGAAAGACTGACAATTCTATACTTTCTTCATATGAGTATAAGAAGACTATTTATAATGCAAGACATAATCAAATAACACAAATTCCACATATAAATCCCTTTCATTAACAATGGGAAAGTTGCTTTGTAATCAAAAACTGCAAAATGTACATCACATATTCCAGAAAATAACCTTTTAAATCAAAGAAGATCCATTAGAAGTTCTCCATGGATGAAATATACAGATATATATATATATTGTCAGGAAAACTTACTTTTAAAATAGTATAAATAGTAAATTAAATGGGTGTGTTGGAATGAGGATTCTTCTACAGTATGTATATCATAGTTGTATCTTATATACTATACAGTTCCCTTCTTTAGAATTCAGCTGAAAAGCCGGATTATTTTTTATCTTAAACACTATCAGTGTATAATTCACTTATTCCTTTTCTTCCCTTTTTTATTCTTTTATCACAACAGTATTAGTTTACAATTCACTTAAGCTGCCTTGTGAGTTACCTCAGTTGTACCTGAACTTCCTATACTAGTCAACTATTCTTTAATTTAGGCCTACTTCCAATAAACGCCTGCTTTTTGTATATAGGTCTACTTCCAAATAATCATCTGCTTTTTACCAAAGTCTACACAAGAAGGTTCAATCACTTTAGAACACCCTGTGATGAGACAAATTATTCTCCTAAAATGTCAGATAACTGTTAATCTCACTCAAGATATCAACCATTAGGCTATTCACTTCTACAATGGTTAATTTTATGTTTTCTAACTTTTATCTGACCAAAACTCTAACTCGGCTTTACTTTTGGCTGTCTTCCTGTTCTCTGGTCTGGTCACCGCTATATATATATATCTCACTCAGGCATTCTAGAAATCTCCATAGTCTCGACATCAATAACTTACAACAATCATGAAATACTAACTCACAAAATAATTAATTAATACTATCTACACTAGACAGTTTTATATCTGACATACATAAATTGTAGATCTAAATTCTAGACACATGTATTTTTTCTTTTCTTTTCTTTTGTTCACTGTGTATTGTTGTTGCTCCTGCATACTGGATCAAACATGACAAAAGGCAGAGTGATTATAAGGTTTTATCTATAAACAAACTCCATCACAAAAACTCTTACCTTAAAAAGATTAATCATACAAAAAAAAATATTCATTAATTTACGATTTTCTAATCCAATCAAAAGATCCCTCAAGTTTCTTTCTCTGTGCTTATATATAATTTTTGATATTAAACCATACAAACTTGCTTCTACATTTTGTACCAGACTTTCAAACCATGGCTTGAGAACCCCACTGAAAACTTCTCTAGGAATATGAAATCCTTATTTATGATAGTATTATAACTATACATACAACTGGACATTTAAACACAAAATAATACTTGGTGAATATAAAATCTTAATAATACAGCACACTTATACATTTAAACACAAAACAATACTTGGTGAATATAAAATCTTAATAATACAGCACACTAATACATTTAAACACAAAACAAAAGTTGGTGAATATAAAATATTAATAATACAGCACACTAATACACTTAAACACAAAACAATAGTTGGTGAATATAAAATCTTAATAATACAGCACACTAATACACTTAAACACAAAACAATAGTTGGTGAATATAAAATCTTAATAATACAGCACACTAATACACTTAAACCCTAAAATGTTTCACTTCAACACATTGAATAACATTTGAAATAAAAACAGTAAGATTATTACTCATCCACCAAATCCAAACATCAACCATATTAAATGTAGTTTTGGATATCAACATACAATTAACCATCCAACTAAAGTGGTAGTGGGTTCTTGCAGCCAGATCTTAACTCTTTCACCCATTTTGTGCTTGTTATAGTTTTCATGCTATAACTTTTAAATTAGTAAGTATATGTTATCGAAATTTGGCAGATTATCAGTAAACATTACAATGCCTTCATAAGCAAAATATCAATTTTTTTTTATTAAGTCTTAAGGTTTGTTAATCAATTTTGTTTTTCTTATGCCTTTTTTCTTTTTGCATGTTGTCTATCCAACATGCAAAGTCATTTTAATGTTAAGATTAAAAATACTTTTATGCATTAGAAAATTTTCAAATTTCGCATGTCCAGATAGTTATCAAATGTTTCATAACAAAAAAACTATATTTTATCTGTTATTTTCACTAACGAATCTCTGTACAGGTTTGGTAGATTTGATCGATCTTGTAACCACCATAAACAACTAGGAAATAAATATAAATTATGCTTCTTTTGTTTTAGAATAACAACAAATTATAACATGAAAACATCAATGTTTAGACTAAATAGCTTAAATCTTATAACATTATACATTTATATATATTTATTATTATTATATTATATTGACCTTTCACCCGTGTCTGGCTAACAATACAGAAGTTACAATGATGCTGCACACTTGCTCTCATGTTAACATCTCCAATAATATAAAACTGACCCTTAGTCTTTACAAAGTGACTAAAATTTCGCACAAAGGGTATATGAGACGAAATATTTTTTGAGATTTTTATATTCCAGCATTTTCGATATTGGTAATTTGAGTTTCTAATTTGTATGAAACTACAGAATTAGTATTTTGACATCACAAACATATAATTTGAACCAATGCTGCATTCAACATACCATGTTTATCTGTGTATTTCTAATATTTACTTTGAAATTAAAAAATAAGTAATATATTGTACTAAAATTTTAATTATAATCTACACTTTGATACCAAACTTGTTGACATAAATTCATGAAATAGTAGTATTTTTTGATTTTTTCATAATATGACTTTTCAAATTTGGATGACAAAAGTTTTGCACCCAAAATTGGTCCCAAGTTTAGCCTGTATTGCCCCCTAACTATTCATCTTTACAGAGTGTAATTGTATTTTCCCAAGTTGATAAACCAACATTTTGAAAACACAGGAAACATTATTAGTAATAAAAAAAATTAACTTCTCTCAATAAAACTAAACATAAGCATACATTAAGCTAAGACAGCTTTATTTTTCTAACAGGGTGGCTGGCCTTCAGAATGGGTTGCCTTCGGATGTGGTGGAGGCAGTAAATTTAAGTGTGTTTAAGAAAAGGCTTGATAAATACATAAATGATAAGGTTTGTCAATGAGTTTTTTTTATTGATTGGACAGCCTAAATGAACCAATAGGTCCACTGTTGTCCCTAAATATTATGTATGTTATATATTATGCCCAAAAGTTTGCCAACTTAGGTTTTTTTTACAATGCTTCCCTATCAGTTGAACTTCTAAGCCTATATTAATTACATTTACATAAAACAATCATTTTAATAAACAGCAAGAATTTATCAAAGAAAATTTATCCTTTAACAAAGAAATTTAATTTAAGACAAAGTTTAAATTAAAACTTTTTAATTGCACTGTATCTCCAACTAAAAAAACCTTTTAAATAACAGAAAACAATCCACCAAACACATCAACACAGGATTTATACAATTAAACTTTCTTTGGGAACTCTAGCGAGTCTTTTCCCCATTTATGTTAACCTATATATTTCCCTCAAAAGAAAAATCTTGATAATCTCACATGTATATTAACATTAATTTTGATGACACTAATGAAAACTAGAAATATTTATATGTTTAATTTCTATCAAATTGAATTGTTAATAATGTTTAGAAAATCTACAATACTGATAAATTTATCTTAGAATTTCAAGAAAACTATATTTTATTAATTTTTGGATTACCATTTAACTTTCATATTGTTAAGAATTGATCTCATTTATCAAATCCTGTGTAAACCCTTGACAGCAGTAACACCTAAGATAGACATCTTTATCACACAGTTCTATAAATATTTAACACATTTTTATAGGTAGAGACAGTCAAGAAAATATATTTACCTTCATTCTGAATTTAAGAATTCACAGACTTTTGTAAATATAAGGTGATTATATAATCAGTGGTTTCTAACCTAAGTACCTTATACACATTAAAACGTCAAACAAGTGATAATTAACAGTCAAAAGGTTTAGAAACTATCTTGTTCATACTTATGTAGATGTATGAAACTACTAACATATATATATATATTATTTTCTTTAAGTTAATAAATGGCAAAATTAATTAGGGTATCGCTGCTTTCAAACAGGTGAGGATTCATTAGAAACCCAAAAATTGGATATAACTAAAATAAATATTTTATCAGAGCAGCTACAATTATTCTTAAATAAATGCCACATGGGACTTTTTCTAAAAAGTTTTACTCTAAGATTGTACATTTCACATTTCTAAACCAGTAAATCTAAAGACTTTACAAATGAAATACTAACCTCACCATCCACATCTCTACTCTGTCCTGTTAATAGTCCATTTATTTGGATACACGTGTCAGAGGAGTGACTTATGCAGTTCAACAATACATGGCTGTCTTCATCATCAAAATCCACGCTACCTCCTATCACCAAGCACCCTCCTGTCTTTCTTAGGATAAGGGAATGGCAATAATTTATAAAGTTTATCACTTCAATATTACTAGCACCAAGACTCTGAAGATTTGAGAAATCATCAATAAGAATTAAAAAATTCAAATCTTTAGTGCTACTGTTGTCTAACATTTCAACTTTCTTCTTGATGGACAAGTACAATTCCATTAAACTGTGCTCTCTACAATTCATAATAAAAGAAAATGGATTGTTCAAGCAATTTTGTTCTTCAAAATATGACTCAATTAAAGCATTCAATAACTTCAATCCATCAACACAAAGAAGTTTCCCTTCTTCCACAACTTTCTTCAAGTTAATTCCAAGTTTCAATGCAACATTGTGGTAATGATTAAAAGATTGTGCAATGTTTACCAGAATGACAGGACAACTATTCTTCAGAAACAGAGAAATCATGTTATGGAGCACAAAACTGGAGTCAGAACGGTGATCATTTGTAACTAAAATAAATTTCCTCTTCGGCAGATTCTTTTCACATTCAAGAAAAACATTCAGATCTGAGAACATCGTACACTTAAAATTCTGAGGCAAAACTTGAACTTCTATTACTATTAAATATATTTACATCTAAAACTTAAAAGCTCTACCCTCAAACACAGTCTACGCTATAACTGTGTACGTATAAACTCTAAGTAACACTAAAACTGTAAAAAGTACAATATTTCTACAATTAGTAGTACCAGTAGACCTAACATTAACTACAGTAGGATATACTAAACATAAAAAAAACAACAAAAAACAGTTAAGCCTAACACTATAGCTTATCTGTAACAATTCATATATAAGCACGCGTTTAACAACTACCAGAGAAGACAGGGTATGCTGCTAGACTGGAACTGTAGTTATGCTTACACACTAAACTTATTCATCCAAATCACAAAAATAAAATTGAAACTAGAAACACGTTGGTAATTTACTCTCTATCATTACATTTACAACGAAACAATTACTTTATCATAGATCACAGAGGGCACAAGTATCGCTTCTACAGTCACAATGAAACAAAAAACGTTCATGATATTTTATTATTTTTTAATGAACATTTTGTAAACTGTACTATATACGATTATTTCATTGATATCAAAAATAACATATTATTATTCGGAAGGAATTCATATGCCTTCTGGTTTCACCATAAAGTCAGTTATTGTATCAAACGAACCGCTTACTAAACATTTTTTTATGTGCTGTTACGTCTCTATGTTCGTTTGTTAATTTTCCGTAGAAATTCTTTCCGATAAACTTCAGGGATTCAAGTCCTTTCTTAAATAAAACTAGTTTATTCTTTCTCAACTCAACTTTGCAATAAACTTAATTTCCACAGCCACTTTAACTTAACACACGCTATAATTCACAAAGATTCACGGACTTTACTTACGGTCACTACCGCGCTTAACTCAATTGTCCGTCTCTGTCTATCTGTAATTCTATTCTGATTAATTGATTTCGCTTTATCTGGCGCACTTACATACAAGAATAGAGGGCGAGTAGAAAAGACCAGAGTTGCCACGAACAGACATGATACTTCTAGAATATCATGATGTGTTACTAGCGTCATGTTCTTCCGCTGTCGTAACAGTGCCAAATGCTTATACATGTTCCTTACAGATACCGGTAGCGTTATATTCTTTCGTAAGCTCTGTCCCCTGTGGGACAGTGGTAAGTCTATGGATTTAGAACTCTAAAATCCGAGATCAAATTCCCCGCAGTGGACACAGCAGGAGCCCAATGCTCTAAAACAAACAAGCCTTTCGTAAACTCTTGTAAAAGTTAAATGG